TGTTTTCCAGTCAAGTCTGTTGGGGCGCCGGGGCGCCAAGCCCTGGCCCCAAAGTCTATTTTTGATATTCCCTGGGGACTTTATTGCTCCATTCCCCTTGCTGTTCTGTTCCATGCCCTCAGTATTTTGCCTCGGTGTGGTGGGATCAGATTGGGCAGAATTACCACACAGTGTGAGACTAACTTTTTACAGGAGTAGAAAGCTCCATTTTTCTCTTGTGGAGCAGCTGGTCGTTTCGAATTGCTGACCTTGCTGTTAGCAGCCCAGCGTGTAGCCACTATACCACATTGTGGCTTTGATTTGCATTTTCCTCATGATTAATGTTGTTGACCAAATTTTCATGTACTTACAGAACAGTTGTGTATAGGTTTTAGAAAAATATTCAAAAATGTTTACTATTTTTATTTAGGTTATTTGTATTTTTATTGTTATATGAGTTCTTGGTATATTTTAGAGTCTAGGTCAGTGAATAGTTAAAGATGTACTTAAATTTCTGGACTGATAAATCTACAAGTCTTTGCCAAGGGGCTCTTGTGGGACATGACTTCACCCCTCTAAAAGGCCATTTTACAACTCTGCTTGAACTTTTGTTTTCTACTTGTACAGTGCCTCACGATTAGCGGGTGCTGATCACTGAGCTTCCTCGAGGCTTCCCTGGCCATGCACATGGCCATGGGCGTAATGCACAGCCTTGCTCCTGCATGCTGGCCTCGTGATTCATTTTCATATATTGGAACTGTTCAAAATCTCTTGTGGTATATCATATCCTATCTTTTATTTAGTTCAGCTGTTTGTTTTTAATAGATGCCACCAGGTAAAAGGCTGTTCACATGGGTTATCTTCAAGTCACACAAGATGAAGACAAGCTTTACAAGTGAGGTTTTCTAGGAAACTGACAGTTTAAATAATGAGAATTCTCTGATGATGTTGCTTTTGTGGAACTCCAGCTTGACTCTACCCCCTCGTGGTGCCTCCTGATCTATGGCCATAGTCACTTGTAAATCACAGACAAAATGGAACTGCTCCTTCGGGTTTCCCAGGGAACAGAATGTCTTTTCTTTCTTCTGCGGAGCTCCTGATGGGTTCAAACTGCTGACCTTGCCCAATATTTAACCTACTACCCTGCCTGTATAGCTGCAAGCAAGGCTGCCTGCGTTTACCTGGTGGCTTTCAAGATACAATAGAGTGGACTCGGCCCAGATGGGTTCAAATGGCTGACCTTGAAATTAGCAGCCCAGTACTTAGCCCACTTAAAATCAGGAAAGGTGTGTGTCAAGGTTGTTTCTTCTCACCATGTTTATTCAATCTGTATGTTGAGCAAATCAGAGAAGTTGGACTATGTGGAAATAATTGTGGCATCGGGATATGAGAAAGGCTCATTAACCTGAGATACAGAGATGGATCAGCCTTGCTTGCTGAAGGTCAGGACTTAAAGCACTTGGGGGAAAGTCCTTTCAAAGTTATAGCCAAGAAAACTGTAGGGGGAGTTGGACTTTGTCTCATGGTGTTGCTGTGAGCTGTAAATCTGTGTAGTCCCTAATACAAACACAACGCAGTTAAAAAAGGAGAGCACTTTCAGGTGAGCAATTTTGTTTGTAAAAGACTATGGGTCTTGTGATCCATACACAGACTCTTTTTAAGTTTAGTGCTGAGATTTGATTTTTCAATCTATTATCTGACAGCATAGAATATTGTAAACACATTAGGAATTCTAATAGTCAACTCTTTTTGTTCATTTTATAGTCCTGGGTATGAGTCAGAGAATTTAAGAATATTTAGTATGTTTTTCACTTGTCTATCATGACACTCTCATTTGTAGTGTTTTAATCAGCTTTGATTTTTCCCCAACATAGCGTGTTTATGAAATAGTAGTGATACTTTTGTTATGTTTTGTTTTAGAATCTCAAGATGTGGATTTTATATGTAATGTTCTTGTGGTGGCTGATCAGTTTCTCATAACCCGATTGAAAGAGATTTGTGAAGTAGCATTAACTGAAAATCGTGAGTATAATTTAATTAACTATTAGTACCTTTCAGGTTCATCCAGGACCTTTTTTTTAAAACTAATTTTAAGGTTTTTTCACCAACTTCATTTACGGTAAAACATTCCACTAATTGTATCATCACTTATAAATACATTGTGTTTCAGGAATATTATCATCCAAAAATATATGCATATTAGAATTGAAATACCTTATTACTTTTTATTGAGATATCAGACAGCCTTAGAGATAAAGATGGTGTCAAATTTATTTGGGAACTTAAAGGATGAGGATTTGAAAGTAGAAATGGTTTATCCCTGCCCTTGGTGAATCATTTATGCATAATATATATCAATATAGTTCTCGTTGCAGCTACATCTTTCCAGTTGCTTATTGGAATTTTTATGTAGCTGTTTCATTAATGTAGCTGAACTAATTATCTTTGGTCGTAGGATCTTTTTGCCCTGTAGTCATCAGCATGGCTGTTCTCTTGAACATTTTATTTATTTATTTTTTACTATCAACAGTTTCAGACTCTCTATACCCTTGCCAGTATTTATTTCTTGTGTTTGGCTTTTGTTTTTTGACCAACCCATTTTAAAGCTGTTTCCTTTTCTTTGCTATTTGGTTCCCTAGGTCCAAATTAATTCACCTATCAAAACCAATTTATTCCCAATTAGGTTGTTAGTCACATTTTCTCACACCTTTGGATTTTCACTTTCACCAGCCCACTTGAGGTTGTTACCTTACTTTCCTGTGTCGCACTAGTCTGCACTCTGGTCATTTTCTTCTCACTATTCTTCTGTAAGAGGAGTCTGCCAACCTTAAAACCAGTGGTTCAAACCCACCAGCAGGATCACAGGAGAAAGATAGGCTTTCGGTTCTCCTATGGTTTAAAGGCACAGAAACCCGCAGGGGCAGTTCTGCTCTGTCATATAGGTTGGTTCTGAGATGGAATTGACTCTGTTTGCATAAATATCTACAGCCTCTGAAACCCTATGAAGCAGTTCTGCCCTGTCTTATTGGGTCTCTGAGTCAAAATCCACTCGGCAGCAATGGATCTGGGTATTTGTCTTTAAAGAAGCTCTGTGGCACAGTGTTAAAATGTTCAGTTTCTAACCAAAAGCTCGGAAATGTGAACCCAGCGGCCTCTCTGGCAGAAAGTTAGGGCAATCTGCATCCATAGAGGTTTCTAGCCTTGAAGCTCTATGGGGGTTCAGGTCTCCCTTTTAGGGTTGGAATACACTCAACAGCTGTGAGTTTTGGTTATTCCTCTTTTAAGTGACTGGGAAATAATTATGTCTCTTCTCTATTTTAGTTGTTCTAACTCTAGAATAATAGAAGTTTTCTTAACATCTTGTAGCTTCCTAATTATATCTTCGTTCTGCTTTATTGTCATTTCAGAAGTAGGGAGGTTCCTGTCAGATTTTTCTATTTTGTGCTTGCTAGTTTTAGCTTTAATTCTAATGGTTTAAAACTTTTTTTTTCTTAAGCTCTTTGGATTATATTCTCTTTAAATGTAAAAAATGGAACTATCATTACTCTCCTTTTAAGAAAGAAAAGGAAATAAAGGACAACATATTTTACACATATATATAAAATATAGGAATAGAGATGTACATGTATGTCTTATGTCTTATTTTCAATGTCTGTATTCCTTTATTCATGTGTATGTCTTTATTCTTATTATATGCTGTGTGTGAATAAATACTTTCCTCTATATACGAGGGGGTGCCCCCCAAAACCCAGATTTTTTTTCAAAGCGTTTTAATTGTTTTTATTTTTTATTTCTTTTTTTTAATTTTTTCAAAAATTTTTAATTGTTTTTATAAAACAATATTATCACCTTCAAAGTACTCTCCGTTACACTTAATACATTTGTCAAATCTGTGATTCCATTCTTGGAAACATTTTTCAAACTCATCTGTTTGAATGGCTGACAGCACTTCCCTTGTTTTTTCCTTCACCCCATCTGTGTCGTCAAATTGCTGTTCATTCATGTCCCTCTTCATTCACAGAAACAAAAAGAGGTCGCAGGGAGTGAGATCAGGTGATAAGGAACATGGGCAAGAGAGGCATGCTGTTTTTCCCCAAAACTGGTGCACTAAGATGGCTGCGTGAGCAGGTGCACTGTTGTGGTGGAAAAACCAGTCCTCTGTCTGCCACAAATCAGGTCTTTTTTGTAGTACTCAATCTTTTTCAGAACCTCTAAGTAGAAAGCTCGATAATAGTCTGACCTGGTGGAACGAACTCCAAATGCACCATCTCCCCCAAACATCAAAAAAACAAATGAGTGTAGGTTTTTGGGGGGTGCCCCTCATATATATGATTAAAGACATGGGCGTCCTTATTTCTGTTGTATGCTATCTTTCTATTCTATGAAAAGAGACATATACTCCATTTTATGTATATATATATGTATATATGTCTTTATTCCTATTTTGTTTTTTCCTTAAAATAAGATCTGGGCTGCTACTATTTTTGAGGACTAAAGTGAATATATATATATTGAATATTTTCAATTCTGGTGAATTTTTTTCCCCTTAGTTGTTTTTTTTTAATGGATCCTTGCACACAGTTACTTTTTATTTGAATTCGTGGTCTCTAGAACCTAGCTAAACCACTGTGACAATATTTTCAATCATCCAGTTTAATCTTCTCTGTGATATCTAAGACTTTGGGCTAATTCTTTGTGTAATATTTAGGCAGAAATGAATCAAGTCCATTATTGATTGCAGCACTTGGGACAGAGTTACATGTACAAAGAAAAGGGATTGAGGGCAGTCAGGTTTAGGACACTGTCAGGTGGGATCTGAGTTAAGTAAGAAAATTGAGTTGTACGGGATCAATGCTACATGATAGCTAAGTAGACTATTTAGGAGTATCTCTGGCAAAATAAGACAACTTGTGTCTAACCTTCTACTAGAATTTCAAATAATCCTAGGCTCCTGTGCATAATATACCAAATTATGCATTGGCATGAATGATATAGTATAATTTAGCAGTGTTTATTTAATGTATAATGCACTTATATTTATATACAGAAATATAACTTTATAAATTCTGATAGAATGCATAAATATATTTTATAAAATTATGTTTCTCTTAATTTGGGGGAAATTTTTAATAGAATAAATATCCTGTGTTATGTAAATTAAAAGAAAAGCTTTGCATTAACGGAAGTTATACTCATAAAATGTTATATGGAAGATCGTTAATTCTTGTGTTGATCTAGATGACCTTGTAATGGGCCTGCTGTATTGTTTTATTTTGCTTTAATTTTTGTTTGTTTGCACTTGTTTTTTCAATTTATAACCAGTTATTTAAAAATTCTGTAGCACATTGGGGTGGAAAATGAATCTTGCCTTTGCCCCAGTACAATTTTGGGCATTGTATTACTTCTCTGAGGGAACCCAACAGCTGCTCTACAGGAGAAAGATGTGGCTGTTTTCTTGCTAAACCTGAAACCTGAGAGGCAACTGTATGTCATTTGCTGCAGTAACATGGGTTTCTTGCCAATCTTGTTTTTTGCCAATCTTGTCTTCCTTTGTAGTTACCCTTAAAAATGCTGCTATGCTACTGGAATTTGCTGCAATGTATAATGCCGAACAATTGAAACTGTCTTGTTTACAGTTTATAGGACTGAATATGGCAGCTTTACTTGAAGCAAGGTAGGTTAATACCATAAACACATATAACTTGTCAAAAGCAGACATTCATATGTAATAGCAGATATGTTAATAATATAAAAGTGAATAATATAAATTCCAACTAGGTAAAAAAAATTTTGGAAAATAGGAGATCAATCATTTCACAAATATTTGAGTTTCTACTATTTGCGAGATACTGTCCCCATTGCTAGGGTGCACTAGTAGGGAAAAACCCCCAGAAACATTGGCCTCAGGGGATCTGCATGCTAGTTGAAGTGTTGTGGAGCCGTATTATTACAAGTGTATTTTTGTATACAAATGTGTATTTCTTTGCTTATGTAGGCTTATCCATAACTGTGCAGTTATTACCATGGTTTCTGGAAAATATATGGTATACTGATTAAATTAGTAGGGTCACTATGAATCAGATTTGACTAATTAGCAGGTTTGGGTTTTTTTATAGTTATAGTCTGTTTTTTCAAAACCATTTTATTGGGAGTTAATATAGATATCATTCCCTAGTTCAATCAAATCAAGGCAATATTGTACAATTGCTACCATAATCAGTTTGAAAGCAATCTTTTCCTTCAGTAACTCCTTGACTTCAGTTCCCTTTTACCCCCACGCCACCACCACGACTCTACCCCGCCCTCCCGGAAACCCATATTCTACTTGCTATCCTTGTGTGTTCATCACTCCTGGGTTTCATATACTGAAAACTAGAAAAACATTTAACACATTCAAGAGGGTGACCCCAATGACATAACACATGTGAAGTAAACCCCAATATGAACAAACAGAAAAATACCGAAAATGCTGAAAACCACATCAGGTCTAACATGTATCAGAGGGGGCAATCGACTGTCAGTGTTTTAATGGACCAAGCCAGGTTTTGATTTTCTTTTGCAGTGGTTCTCAACCTTCCTAATGCCGCGACCCTTTAATACAGTTCCTCATGTGGTGGTGACCCCCAACCATAACATTAGTTTCGTTGCTACTTCATAACTATAATTTTGCTACTGTTATGAATCGGGCAATCCCTGTGAAAGGGTCATTCCACCTCCAAAGGAGTCACGACCCACAGCTTGAGAACCGCTGTTCTGTTGTCATCTCTCCAGTGCACTCTTTGGTAACCACTTTCCTTCCCTCCCTCTAGTATGGAGAGAGGGGAATCATTGCAGGTGTATTTCCTGTGTAGAGCCCACAAATGTATCTTGAGCTCCCACTGTCATCCATAGCCTTCTGCAAACCAGAGTCTCATAATTTAGGCTCTGATACTAATCCCTCCTTAGACTTTGGATTATATGATTTGCAATCCTTCAGTGACTGATGTTGGTGTGTTTCTTCCATGTGGACTTAGTTGACATCTTACTTAGATGGCTGCTTATTTGGAAACAAGCCTTGAAGACTCCAGATGCTACTTTATCTAATAGCTGGACACCATCTAATTTCTTTACCACATTTTGCTATAGCACTATATCTTCTGTGTTGCCTTCCTGAGAGGAAGTATTGAACAGGGCCATGATGTAAGAACTGATTGTTCTTAAGTTGGAGCTAGGATTTAGTCAAGCCCCAAACCCATTCCTGGATTTTTTTTTTCTTTTTAGATCTGTTTTGGCTCACTTTTGAAAGCTCCTTGTTAACTTATGGTGGACAGTTTTTCAATTATCTCCCTGGGATATAATGATCTTCTGTTAATATTGTCTTTGATTAACTCCCAGTACTAATTTTTTTAAAGCCCTATTGAGAAATGGCCAATGTAGGCCAACTGACAATGGATTTTTTTTTTACTTCTTTAGAAATCATAGACATTTTAGAACCCAGAGGGAGCTTAGAAATTCAGTCTGATATTCAAATGTTTTTAATAGTTCATTTTTTAATGAAATAAATGTTAAACATCTATTGTTAATATGAGGTCCCAAATTTTACAACTTTTACTCACTGTAAAGCTGTTGGTGAGAAAATTATCGCACCAACATAGACACTTAGAATTCTTAGTGTCACTTTTCAGTTAATACCCCAGCATCCAGCTATTTCTGTATTTTGTTTAAATAGCAATAATAAATAAAATATTTAGCATATGGTATGTTCCAGATACTGCTCTGTTACATAGATTATTTCAATTAGTTGTCATGCAAACTTTCATTAAAACTTTCACTGTACATTAAAATACCTCTTTGGAATCTGAGACAATTTTGAAATCTAGCATGAATTCAAAGGGGCTTCAGAGTACATGGAAAAGTGGAATTAAAGATAATGTGTTTTTTTTCCAATGGCTTTTTGAAGTGCCATCCTTAAACTAATCTACTCCAAGCCTCATTTCCCATGTGGGGACATGAAAGCTGATAGGTAAAGTGAGTTGCTCTCTGTGGTGCTGGTCATGGATCATGGTGATAATCCTAGACAGAATTCTGGTATCCTCACGTTTAGTGTCTTGTTTCGTCAATGTAAAACTTGCCTATTGTTAGTGATTGTAACTTGTGAGAAAGGCAGATTAGAAAATGAATGCTTATTATGCTCCCTTCCAAAAATTCTTTGTACACATATTCCCTAGAGTTGCTTAATATTTATCCAAGGTATTTGTCTTAATTGTTTGCTCTTAAAAATATATATCACTATACCTGTTTCCAAAATGAATTTATAGCAACTGGTAGATGCAGTACTTCAAAAATAACTTTGTTACTCCTAGGTAATATGGACTGTTGCTGCATAATTAGAAGTCACAGTCTTAAGCTTCTATCCTATTTTATAGGTCTCTTGATGTTTTAAGTGATGATGTATTGAAGGATCTGTCTGTTTTTTACCGGAAAATGGTAAGGTTTATATTATTCGGTGGAGCCTACCTATAGTGTTAGTAACAAAATCAGAATATTGGATCAGATTAAATATAACATATGGGGCTTCAAAAAAGTTCCTGGGGGGGAAAAAAAAACCGAAATGAAACTATAATGAAAAAAATTTAATGAACTTTTTGAAGTCTCCTCATACATTAAGATCTTTTTTAAATGAGGACATAAGATTCATTATAGATCTCACAAATAAGTACTGAAATTGAAATGAAGCTATCTAATGATAAAAGCAATAGTGATTTTAATCCCTTATAAAAAAAAATTGAAAGCTTCAGAGAAAATCTTTCATTGTTTTCTAAAAGTCAGCCTAGTGCCAAGCCTGGAATCAGGTGATTCCTGAGAAATGCTTTAATCACTTATTTCGCAAAGTGGACTTTGTTTACAAGTATGTTGATTTTTAGTTTTTGTTTTTTTAACCTTTTTCTTAACAGATGAACTGTTTAATGAATCTAATCAGAATATCGTTTTCAGGAATTCATTAGGCATTCTAGACTTTGTCTAGTTAATATCAAAACATTGAAACAAATAGGATAATGTACCTATTTTTAAAAAAAATCATGACAAATTTCATATTTTAAAATGACATGTTTTCTTATATAGATCCCAGCAATGGATAGAAGGGTTATTACACCTTATCAAGATGGACCAGATATTAGCTATTTGGAAATAGGAGATACCTTTTTGAAAGAAGAAATAACTTTGGAACAGAATTATTTGTAAGCCTTATTTTTTTTCCCTTTCTATTTCTGGAAGAAGTATTTTATTTTGGTTTAAGTGCAAGCTTACAGAACAAATTAATTTCATATTCAGCAACGTACTCACAAATTGCTCTGATACATTGGTTGCCCTCCTCACCGTGTGCCAGCAGCCTCCCCTTCCATGTGGTCAGTTTTCCTGCCCCTTCCTGCTTTCTGAACATTGCTTTGGGGAAAATGCTGACCTTTTCAGCTGTTGTAGTTGATTGCTCTAAGGAAAACATGTATGTCCGAAGTATTGATGTTTACTTTGTAGGGCTATCTTTTGTGGACTGAGAAATGATCTGGAAGTAAAAGGGTGTCTGTGGGCCATAGGCCTAGCGATTCTGTCCGTTTCTATCAGAGAGTGGGCTCGTCTTTTTTGTCCTTTTAGATTGTGTTCTACCTTTTATTCCACTCTACCCAGTCCCTTTGATTTGTTATCTTAAGCAGTCAGTGGTTGTAGCAAGGAACTATCTAGCTCCTGTCTTCTCAGGTTTATTGGGACTACGGTTCATGTGGTTAACAGGTTGAAACCATCAGTTGCTCCTTGGGAGAAATATGAGGCTTTTTACTCCCTCAGGGAGTTAGTTACCGACTTGGAAACCCACAGAGGCAGTTCTATTCTGTCAGATCATCCAGTCAGCTCATATCACAGCCATCGAGTAGCTGCCAACTCATAGCAATCCTGTAAGACAGGATACGACTGCCCCCACGAGTTTCCAAGACTGTTTATGGGAGTAGAAGGCTCTTTCTCCCAAGGAGCAGGTGGTAGTTTTGAACTTAAGACTTTATGGATCCACAGCCTGAATCATAACTATACACCACTAGGACTCCTATCAGGTATGGTTGCTATAAGTTGATTCCAACTCAGTGGAAGTGAATTTGAAGAATTTTAATATTATATTGAGTAGATTGACATCAGCTCTTCTCTGAACGTTTGATAGAATGCTCTGGTAAAGCTCTTACCTCTAAGAAGCATTCTGGCTGTACTCCTTCTGAAGCAGATTTGTTTATTCTTTTGGCAGTCAATGTTTCTTCCAATAGTCTTCACCAGCACCAAAATTCAAATGCACCTATTCTTCTTCAGTCTTCCTCATCCAATATCCAACTTTTATAAGCATGTGAGACAATTGAAATACTAAAGCTCACCCTTGTCCTCAGAGTAAAACCTTTACTTTTCAACATCCGAGAGAGGTCCTGTGCCGCTGGTTAACCCAGTGTAATGTACTGTTTGATCTCTTGACTTCTGCTTCCGTAAGTATTCATTGTGGGTCACATTGCAGTAGAGCAAAGAGGACAGGAAAAGGGAAAACAACAGGAAATGTTAATAACTTTGGTAGTTGAAAAGTGATTACCTGGTGATAACTGACGAAGCTAAACAATAAAAGCTAAAGTAATTCTGTAAAGGCTTAAAAGTTAATGGTAACAGATTTTTGAAGACTAAAGTCAGTGGTTGAACTTGCTAGAGGGCATTTTGCCTAAGAGTTGGATTGGACCTCTGGTCCCCTCCTCAATCCCATTTAACCAGTTGACCACCCCTCCTCTGCCTGTGCACGTTTACTCTGGAGATGTGTACTCAGAAAGGCTTCAGAGTGTATGACACTAGCCCCAGAGAAAGTGCTGATTTGAAAACACTGTTCTTGAGAATCTGCCAGATTAAGAGAAAGAGTCTGTAGTGCCTGCCATTTATGGGTCCTCCAGTAAAATATCCCAGCTTCTGTGTCATCCTCCTCCAGTTGGCTGACCCTTTGCTGAGTACAGAACTTCCATCCATTGCTTTCTGACTCATTTGCCAATTGCTTAAAGTTAATTTCCTTCGTCTTGCTCAATGAACTTTTTACATAGTATTATGTAAGATATTTAGATGTTAGGGTAATTTGATGTATACCTAATTTATTACTCAATCATGGGTTGCTTTTTCTATTTCAGAGATATTCACTTTAAAATATTTTTCCTGGATTTGTTAGTATTTGAGATGTTTGAAACGTATAGTTTACTTATAAGTTTATAAGATACTTGTAAGTTTACATGATTTATAAGTATTTGTTAGTATTTGAGATGTTTGAAACATATAGTTTACTTATAAGTTTATAAGATTGTTGTAAGTTTACATGATTTATAAGAATGTGTCATACTATGTTGAAATTTTTGGAACGCATTTTATTACTCTACATATTGATGGCATAGCATGTGTGTGTCAGAATAGAAATGTGTTCCACAGAGCTTTCTTTGATTTTTTTTTTTTTTGGTAGTAGATTGCCAAACCATTCTTCCAGGACTTCTTTGAATTAAATATGGACCACCAGCCTTTTGTTTAGCATCTAATCATGTTAACTCTCCACCATCCAGAGATGCCTATGTGTTACTATTGATATACATATCCTGTGTTGTTTTCTACAAAATAATAATATTCACAGGTTACATGTGTGTAATGAGGTCTGCAATTTTTAGATAAAATAAGGTGACTGGTTTCATGGATACTTTATTTCATACTTATGGTACATTCTCTGAAATGCTTTAAAAATGTATTATGAAATATTTCTAGTCAAGATCATCATTTGAACTTTTGATAATACTATTACTGTGTACAATATTTTACTTTTCCAGAGTTTAAAAATTAAATTTGTTTTTAACTTTCAAAGAAATATGAGAGTTAGAACAAGTAATAGTTTCACACTGATGCCCAATAAAATAAAATTTGCTCAGAAGCACTAGTTGATTTTGACTATATTGTCTATCTGTATTTTGTTTTCTTTGTAACTAAAATCCTATATTATGATCAAATGCGCAGTTCTGCTGTTTAATCTCTAACTTACTGTGTGTTTATAAAATGACTATTACGTCTGCCTTTGTGTAGGGAAGCTATGATCAAGAAGGCAAGAACAAAAGCAAAAAAGAAGCCACGTAAGCGGTCAGGTAGTTCTGGAGGTTATACCCTTTCAGATCTTATTCAGAGTCCACCATCTGCAGGTTAGTGGAAAGTGTTCTAGCACATATTTACAGCTCTAGTATTTTATGCGTCTCTGTTGTGTTGTGATTTATTTCTTCCATATTAAATCCTGTTCTATCCTATCCACTGGAGCTCACCCTTTTCTTAGTGAGGCCACAGAAAATTATAGTATGATGCAGTGAGTGCTGATTGTGGTTTGCTGTAGGGGCACAATAAAAGACCATCAAACTACCTGAGATCAGGGAATACCTCTTAGAGAAAGGTGATGCTTGAACTGGAGCTTGCAAAATGAAGAGAAATTACCAGTAAAGGAGGCAAGTAAGCTTACTAACATAAGCTAACTAACATATGTCGTTAAACTTAGAAACAATAGAAAGAACGGCACCTCTTCTTCTGATGTGGCTCACCCATATAAGCTGTGTACAGATAGGAGATGGTTGGAGACAGTCAGATGGGTGGCTGTTGATTGTTAAGATACATGTTTTCAGAAAGACCCTTCAGTGCACTAGCATAGACTATTCCAGATGGACAAAATAGGAAAGACACTTGTATTATCAAGTAGATTCATTTCAGTGCTTCACTGAGAGACCCTCCCCCACAAAAAAATGCCATTCATGTGCTTAAGGACCTTATAATCTCTTAATACAATATAACATATTTTACATCTAGGCATTAAGTAAGCCTGTTGAAAAGTAGAGATTACATAATTTTGCTAAAAATTGGAAGAATACTTTGAATACCTGTATATCTATCAGCCAGATTTATTATTAACAACTTAACCACACTTGTTTTTCTTCCCAGAATATCTCTTATGTACTCCCCATCACCAAATGCCAAATATATAAACACTCAAATATCTCTCCTTATGTAAGAATGTTTGTGCTGATCCATTTGAAAGCATGTTGTAGACACAACACTGTACCTCAGTGAAATGTGCATCGCTATATGTATACAATCTTCTATACAATCAAATTATTATTGTCACACTTATAATTGATATTAACCCATTAACAGCCCATATCTGTTGTTTGATACCATCGAGCTGATTCTGACTCAAAGCAACTGCGTGAACAACAGAATGAAACGGCCCCGTCCTTTGCTGTCGTCACTGCTGTTCCTATGTCTGAGCCCAGTTTTGGCAGCCACAGTATCAGTCCATCTTGTGCAGGGTCTTTCTCCTCTTTGCTGCCCCTCTGCTTTACCAAGCATGATGACATTGTGCAGAGACTGATCTCTTCTGTCCAGAGTGCATGAGACAATGTCTCCCTAGCCTTGCTTCCAAGGGGCATTCTGGCTGTATTTGTTCTAAGACAGATTTGTTCTTTTGGCAGTCCACGGTACTTTAAAAATTCTTTGCCAGCACTGTAATTGAAATGCATTGATTTTTCTTCAATTTTTAGTCTGTGTCCAACTTTTACATGCATCTGAAATGATTGCAAATACCATGGCTTGTTTCAGGCACGCCTTAGTACTCAAAGTAACATCTCGCTTTTCAATACTTTCAAGATATTTTGTGAAGCAGATTTACCCAATGTAATGTGTCATTTAATCTCTACTTCCATGAGAATTGATTGTGGGCCTGAGCAAGACAATGTCATTGATAACTTTAATATTTTCTCCATTTATTATGCTGTTGTTTATTGGTCGGGTTATGGTGATTTTGGTCTTCTTTAGATTGGGCTGTACTCCACACGGAAGGCTACAATCCTTGATCTTGATCAGCAAGTGCTTCAAGTCCGCCTTATTTTCAGCAAGCAACGTTGTGTCGGGTTGTTAATAAGCCTTCCTCTAAATCCTGATGCCACATTCGTCTTCATATAAGCCAGTTTCTCTGATGATTTTCTCAGCATACAGATTGAATAAGTATGGTGAGAGGATTCTGACACATTCCTTTCCTGCTTTTAAGCCCTACAGTATTCCCTTGTTCTGTTCACAAAACTGTCTCTTGATCGATGTATATAGGTTCCACATGAACACACGGAAGGATTTCCATTCTTCTCAAGGCTATCCTTAGTTTGTTGTGCTCCACACAGTCAACTGCCTTGGCACAGTCAATAAAATACAAGGAGACATCTTTCTGGTATTCTCTGCTTTCAGCCAACAATCCCTCTGACACCAGCAGTGATAACCGGTGTCATGTCCTCTCTTGAATCTGGCCTGAACTTCTGGCAAACTCCCTGTCAGTGTACTGCTGTAGCAGTTGTTGGCTGATCTTCAAGAAAATTTTACTTGTATGTGAAAAGTTTTACTTGCAATATTAATGATACTGTTTTATGTTGAGAGTATTCTGTTGGGTTGCCCTTTTTTGGCTGAGTTCAAATACCAATCTCTTCCAGTCACGTGACTAAGTAGTCATCTTCCAAATTTTCTGACATAGATGATCGAGTGCTTCCAATGCTGCATCAGCTTGTTGAAACATTTCAGTTGTTATTCCATCAATTCCTATGTCCTTGCCTTTGGCCAATGCTTTTCAGTGCAGCTTGAACTTCTTCCTTCAGTACCATTGGTTCTTGCACATGGTGGAATGTTGACTAGTTCATTTTGGCACAGGGACTTTTCATTCTTCTCATCTTTGGATGCACCCTGCATCATTTAATATTTTGCCCATATAATTTTTCAGTATTGCAACTTGAGGTTTGAATCTTTTCTTGAATTATTTCAGTTAAAGATATGCTTAGGCATGTTTCGTTGTTGTTGTTTTCTAACTTGAAGTCCTTGCACATTTTTTTTTGTAATATTTGCCTGTGTCTTCTGGAGCTACCCTTTGAAAATTCTGATTTATTTATTTCATCACTTCTTCCATTTGCCTTAGCTAGACTGCGATTGAGAGTGAGTTTCAGACTTTCTTCTGACATCCATGCTGATCTTTTTCTTTCTTGCTTATCTTTTTGATGACCTTGTGCTTTCTTGTATGATACTCTTGATTTTATATTACAGCTCATCAAGTCTTCCTTCATCAGTGTTCAGTGCGTTAAATCTGTTTCTTGAGATGTTCTGGAAATTCAAGTGAGATACCATTAAAGGTCGTACTTTGTTTTGGTTAGATGTTAGATATTAAACATCTCCATCCTCTCTTCTCACAGATAAAGTCAATTTGATTTCTGTGTATTCTATCTGGAAAAGTCCAATTGTCTAGTGTTGTGTTAAACAACCTTTTGTGTTGTTTAACAAGTGTATTTTCAATGAAGAAGTCATTGGTCTTGTAAAATTTTATTTTGCAATGTCCTGTTTCTTTTCTGTCACTAAGCCCATGTTTTCCAACTATTCTCTCCTCCTTGATTTCCACTTTTGCATTCCAATCACCAATCATGATTAGTACATCTTGGTTACATGTTTGATCAATTTCAGAGTGAAGACATTGGTAAAACTTCAATTTCTGCATCACTAGCTTTAGTGGTTGGTGCATAAATTTGAATAATTAGTTGTATTGACTGGATTTTCTTGTATGCAATCTTGTATGCAATTATCCTGTCACAGGTAGCATTGTACTTCAAGATAGATCTTGAAGTGTCCTTTTTGACAGTGAATTCAACCTTATTCCTCTTGAAATGTCATTCCCATATGGTTTTCTGATTTAAAATGACCAGTGCCAGTCCATTTCACCTCATTAAGACCTAAAATGTCATCTTTTACAGCTTTCATCTTTCCAAATTCATACTTGACACATTCCATTTTCCGATTAGTAATTGGTGTTTGCAGCTGTTTCTTCTTATTTTGAGTCATGCCCCATCAGCCAATGAAAGTGCTGAGGGTTTTGACTCCACTTTGAGAAGGCAGCTCTAACGCCGTCACTTTTGGATGCTGACTTTCAGTGACTAATTCCTCAAAAGTGGACAACCTGTTCTATCTTTGTACTGTGTTTTTAGTCTGGAAGCTCTGCTGAATTTTATTCACTGTGGGTGACCCTGCTGGTCTTAGAAATACCTGTGGCATAGTTTCCAGCATCACAGCAACACACAAGCCACCACAATGTGACACACTGACAGACAAGTGGAGGAGTCAGTTCCCATCAAGAGTCATTACTTTTGATTATGGGGTCTCTTTCCTGGAACAGCCCACCACATGATTTTTTTTTTTTTTTTAATAATGTTCAAGTTCTTTTTCTCATGAGATATCTCACATTCTAGATTTGTCTGATTAGGTCCAGGTTAAATTATTTAAAATTTCAAGTTTCTTTAGATGAAGCAGGAGACAAGCTTTTAAAAATAATATGAATACAGTATGGCTTTCTCAAATGGGAAATGTATCTATAGCAGTAAACACATAACATGGAGCAATTTCTTACCAGCAGGACTTTCGTATATACATGTCCTTGCAAACAAGTGCACATTGAATGTGTCTCTGAAAATTTAGGTGTCATTTGGTGTAAACACAGGATTTCTCTCTATCATGGTTACACATTGGGCTGCCATCTGCAAGGTGAGCAGTTTGAAACCATCAGCCACTCCTGGGGAGCAGGACGAGCCTTTCTCCTCCTGGTAGCAGTTATAGTCCCAGGAACTGGCTGTGTCAGTCCTGTAGGGTCACTATGCCTTAGCGTAGACTTGATGGCAGTGAGCGAGATGTGTGGTCCTCGGTTAGATAAAAGAACACTTGTTTTAGGTAGCACAGAAGATATTTAAAAGATTAATGATATTCCAGTTGATTTATGGAACACTGAAGGTCGAAAATACCTGTGTTCCAAACTTTCAAAATTTAAAATTTTGTTATTTTACTTTCTTTGTGTTATGAGCCACCTCAGATTCTTAGATGCAAGCATAATGATTGGATAGGCAGATAGTCATGAAACTAGTGACTATTTATTGTCTAAAGGGCCTATGGAAGAAGTAGATATTTTCTTTCTTTTAAATTATTTCATTGTAGGGCTTGTGTTTAGGATCTAAGACTTCCAGAGCTGAATGCGTCTTTATGTCCTTTACTTTCAGCATTAGGAAAAAAAGCTCAGAACATATACTCTTTGAGATTGTAACAAATAGATGTCACTATTTGAGATAGTAACAAAGAGAAACAGAATTTTTACTTGTCTGATAGCAGTTATTTTTTATTATTATTAAACTTCTCTTTCTGTCACCAAAGCAGATAATGATTAAAGATTTTAATTTAATTGGGGGACTAGCACTTATTCTGGAAGAAAATTTTAGTATAAGGTAAATTTCAACAAAGAAGCTTCTGAAGGGCTGACATTTGTGTTGATCCTTAAAGCTGGAGAAAAATTATATGCAACAATCCTTCACAAAAGTTAATTGTTGGCTTCTTTAATGATCTTCTCTATTCTCTAGATTTATTTTTAATTGACTTTTGAGGCATTCTAATATTAAATATATTCTTCAGATACACATTTTCCACACTTAAAAGTATTCAAAATACTTTGGGAAGAAAAATATTTGAATTTTATTTCCAAGATTTATTTTAGCAAAACTATCAATGAAAGACGCATACATCTTAGAAGTCGAGTTACTTTATCATGAACATTTATTTGAATGCATATGAGACCATGTGTTTAAGCTATTTTAAAATAAGTTGTACTTTTACTTAGAACCCATATAATGTGTATAGTTTGTGCTTCATTTAAAGTCTAGTAAATGTAGGAGAATGAACACATGAATCCTAGCAGAAGTTTACTTTTTTTGCTCTTTATTTTTGGAATGACTTGAATGCCCATGAACCTGAATATCAGTAGTGATGTGGAGGTGATTATTTATCTTGCTAACGAAGAGAAATACTATACTTGCTTTATGAACTTAGAAATATGCAATAAAATAAGACAATTTTGAGAAATGCTATTGCATATATAATTTGGCAGTGGTAATCAAGTAAAAAATATGGGATTATGTAGTTAGACATCTGCATATATTTCTATAGGAAGGCATATGGAAGTACATGGATGTCCAAATAGATTTATCTGTACACATATGCTTATATAGGCATGTGCTACATATATATCCTTATATATACTGAATCACATAGGTGACTTCCTAGATTTATTCAAATAACACCCGGAATTGGTGTACTGTATTAAAAAAATCTTAGGGTTAGAGTCTCAGGGAAATCTAATGTTCCATACCTTAATTTGGAGAACAAGTAGTTGGGATCTTCAAACCTGAAGAGTGTCCATCTAAGATATAATTAATGCTCTCATTGGGGCAAAAGAGAGGTAAACCAAAGAGACTAGGAATATCACCTCCCCGCCCCCTCTATACACCATACACACCACAGCCTGTTCTAATCGAAGACCCGTAGAATTACAGGGACACAATAGAAAGTCTTATCTAGAATAGCTGAAAAATAGAGAACAAAATTTTAAATCCTAAAGGGGAACCACTGAAACTATGTCACTAAGATACCTTTGAACTTGGAAGTTAAAGCTACACCTCTCACCCAAATAATAGATTGACCTATAAAGTAAACAAAATTGTGTACCTTTAAATAATCAAGTAGATGAGTCAAACAGTGAACATTGAAGGTAAACCAATAGAAACAGATTCAAAAAGAGTAGAAATGAGAATGTTGACTCTTGTGACCAAGATCATGGAAAAATTATATAAAAATTATTGAATGCAAGCAGAATTTGCTTTGTAAACTTTAACCTAAAACACAATAAAATATTTTAATGATATTGATATAGGGATTTACTAAAATATTAAATCTGCATAAATAGAAAGTTTTAGCTTGATAATGCACGTGTTTAAATATATTTTTAAATTTCACATTTTAGGATTAATAACTTCTGAAAAGACCTATTCTGTGGAATCTCTCCCAGAACTATTGACATCAGATTCTGAAGGAAGCTATGCAGGAGTGAGTAGTCCTAGAGATTTACAATCCCCTGATTTCACAGCAGGATTTCATTCAGATAAGGTTTGTCTTTAATACATTCCTTTCCTTTATTTTGCTCTAACCATAAAACTCTCCCCTGACTGGTTTATGTTGCTGGTTTGTGCCCCATTGAGACATTTCAGACTCAGTAATGACCATCTAGGATAGAAAAATAGAACAGCCCATAATGTTTTGTAGACTGTAATCTTTGTAGGAGTGGTGTGCCAGGTCTTTATTCCTTACGAGCGGCTGGCAGGTTTAAACCCAAACCCTCTCTGTTACATAATCAGTGTGCCACCAGGGCGCCTTGGCTGGTTTTTAAGGCACAATGTAAATAGTACTAGTCTTCTCAAATGTGCACAGCATTTTAAAAAGGTTTTAATGGCAGTTTTGAATCCCTTATGTCTTTCTGATCTTTTTGGTAATAAATATTGTTGTAAAGTACTCTGTGAGACATGTTGAAAATATGTACTTTTAGCCAAATTATTTAAATTTATTTTGTGAAATATCACTTAGCAGCTCCAAAATTTTTTGAAGAAAAATTATTTTGAAAATTAGCCTAATTTCAAAATCTGTATACTCTATTTCCTCCATCCTGTTAATGAGAAAACTAATCTGAAATAAGTGAGTTTTTATCCTAATCTCACCACAGTTGAAATCAAACTGCAGGGTTCCTAGCTTGGGGAACCGTACTGTTTTGGTATTTCTTAGTATTTATATTTCATAAATGTTAATCTACAAGAAATTAATCTCTGTCCACCTTCCTAGAGAAGAGCCCTCATCTTTGGGACATATTCAACTTCTAAAGTTTGTGAGATCATGGGCTCTAACTCTCTTCTAACGTCTCCTAAGTCTAAAAGTTTGGGGTTTTTAAGTTTCTTTTCATGGAATTTAAACGTTGTAGGGGAATTTTTTGTCATATTAATGCTAAGATTCATGTAGATGACAACAGTTTCATAAGGAAGCTTGGGAGTATATTATAAATGCTTTAGATAAATCAAAGCATCTTTCCTAGCAGTACAAATGCTCTTTTAATAAGTCCCTTGACAGTAATAACAATAACTTTCAGGGTCCCTTTCGAGATAATAAATATTATTTGAGAATTTGGATACTTTAATTATACTGTGTGAGTAATATAGCATTTATACTAGACTTTCATTTTGTTTCATACTAAAGTCATAAACATGAATTTTGGCTACTGTTTTCGTATCTTACTTGAACAGCTTTTACTAGTAACATTTTTATTATTAATAGTACTCATGGATAGAAATTTAATATGCAAAGTTATTTCCCCTCAGAAGTATTCTCAAAACTCTTAATAATTTGGTTAGAGACACTAATGTGTCTTGAGACATTAGTTAATTTAGTTAATGAACCAAACTTAAAAAACATGAAATGAAAAGGCTAGATTGTTATTGAAATTTTACTCTTTAGTAAACTGCACCCTTTCTTAAGTATTGTGTGTTACCGCCTATGCTGTTGTTGACTTTTTAAATGTCTTTGCCCCGCAGGGGAAAGTTAGTAACAGCATACCTCCTACGTGTTCTAAGGAGGATGTAAGGCCCAGGGAAAAGTCGCCAGTTCTGAAAGCCTCTGCTCCACAGCCTGTTCCCAGACACTCAAGTGATCATAGAGGCTCTTCGTCCTGGGTGGTCAGCTCCTTCAGGTGCGATTTTATCTCTACCTATCCGTCTGAGAAATGAGATTCACTTTAATCAAATAAAAAGTTTTAATGAAGCACATTTTTAAATAGTAGACATAGGAAATTACCTAAATGTTTACAAAGTGTTAACCAGTTAAAATCACCTGTAGTTTTTTGTTTTATTTTTTCTAGACAAAATGTTGTGGATTTGTAATAAATCAATGTATTTATATATAAATATAGTTCTATATAAGATGTGTATATTGTGACTTGATTACAGCTATTTTTTTCTCGTATGGTTATAGTAGTTATAATTCCCACTCAGGAAGACCATTTGTGGACTTACTTTGTGGTTTTCAGCAAACTGAGGGATATTTTAAGATCTTACAGAAACTATCATTATTCATAATTTTCACAGGTATTTATTTTGTTATTTTTGCTACCCTGTATAGATTTGTCTATGTTTTAAACATGACAGTCTTTTGTTTAGAAAAGCCACTTTTTAAACAAAGGAGTAGATGCTGATTAAGTCTGTACTCCATCTTCATGTGTCCCCGAGGTTACAATGGCCAGGGTTCATACTTCTAAGCCAATGTATTTTTTATGCTTGCAATGAAAGGAGGCAAGAAATGTGCAAGGAATGTTAGTAACTTCAAGTTTGCATTTAATAATGGTGGTGCATTGGGCTGCAAGCCAAAGTTAGCAGTTTAGAATCACCAGAGGGGAAAAATGAGGCCTTCTACTCTTGTGAAGAGATACTACAATATTGGTTGAAAATCCACATTGGCATTTCTGTACTGTCGTGTAGAGGAATTATGAGTTGGAATCAACTTGATTGCAGTGCAGTTTTTTTGTTTTTGTTTTTCTTTTGTTTTTTAGTGAGAATGTATATTTGTTTCGACTAAGATTTTCATATCTTCCAAAAAGTTGGTATTTCCCATGTTCAGCTGAATTTCTTAAATGGTTTTAAAATATGCTGAGTTGTCTACACAGTTGGAGCTAAGATTATTATGTTGATGTCCCAGTTCTTACTGTTTTGTGGTATAAAATGGTTTGGAAAATAGTTTCAATTTTAAAAGTGATCTTTTAAGAAGGTCATGGTAGAAAATCAGTAATATACGTTTTGTCTATAACATTTTATCCCTGTTTACAAATGTTAAACACAAACATTCCTGTGTTCACTTTGAGTATTGGCTAATTAATAGGAATAAGAAATGTAATTTATTTTTAATGAAAGAAACTGTTACCTTTTGATGTGCAATGTAATTAAAAATAAGTTTAGCTATATCAGAAATTTCATTTACATCAGAAATCATCTGCTCCTAAAGTTCTAGAGTTTTATTTCTCATTACACTACATCCCCTTCTATTGGGCTTCACATCGTTGTTGAGCCTTCCCAAGTTTTCTATGCAGTATGTTTTATTAATGGTACAAATTTTGTGTGTTAAATAGTAGGAAAACCATAATTTTTTAAATCATTTTATTAGGGGCTCATACAACTCTTATCACAATCCATACATACATCAATTGTGTAAAGCGCATTTGTACATCATTCTCAAGACATTTCCTCTCCACTTAAGCCCCCATCATTAGGTCCTCATTTTTCTCCTCTCTCCCCGCTCCCCTGTCCCTTATGAGCCCTTGATAATTTATAAATTGTTATTTTGTCATGAAAACCATAATTTTTAAGTCCCGTATATCTTAAATACTATGAATTAGTTCCCCACTCCTGCTGCAGCTAGAGGTTGCCAACAGTGTGGTCTGTATATGACTTTAAGTTGAAGATCACAGGATTCTTTGGGGAAAGTAGAAAGAGGGAAACAGTGCCTTCAGAAATACGTAGAGCTAGATGGAATATATGGTGAACGACAAAGCCTCGCCCTTTTTAAAAAATATATAAATATGATTTATTGTTTAGAAGATTTCTGTGATCTTGTATAGTACTTTTTTGACTTCATGTAATTTAGAGTTTTAATGATGCTTAGGAGGCTGGATTTTTGCAGTAATCAAATGCTTTATAAGTTAACTTTCATATATTTTAGTCCTGTCAGCCCTCCTGTCGTGGATCTTAGAGCCATTATGGAAAGAGAAGAAAGTAGACAAAAATTTGGAGCTGCACCAAAAACAAATTTGGGGTTGGTAAAAAAATCATAAAAAAGAGAAAGAATGATCTTTTCTATTTCTGCTCTAGAGAATTGGAAAAACCACTTGACTCTTTTTATTATTTTTCTGTATTTGATGTTATAGCTAATTATAAATACTTTTCTAAGGAATTAACTTCTATACCATTATTTATTAAATATGTGCTGAATACTGAGTTGATAGTCCAGCTTCTGTTGAGTACGTTTTTATATATCATAAACTTAATATGTAAAGTGACTTACTTCTGAATAAAAGCCAAAGATTGAAAGTTTGAAGTACAAGACTATTTTCCACTACAAAAAGGATAATGTTTTAGTATGAGGGCTCATGTAGAGTTAATAAACTGATATGAGTGCTATTAAAATATGTGACTATTTTGATACAATAATAGTAAAATCACACCAAAGAAACAGAAAGCAATACAGTTGCTTTCATAACGTACAGTAAGCAAAAATTACCAATAACTAGCTTAATTTAATTTCTATTAAAATAGTGGCTCACAAATTAAACTTTCTCAGAAGCATGGAACTAATTTTTTTTAATTTAATTTATAGCAAAATCATTTCTCATGGAATAAAACTTTCTCAGAAGCAAAGAAAAATGATTGCAATGACTACCAAAGAAAGTAATTCAAGACTAAATAGCGTGGAAACAGTTTTAACCACTCCTTCAAAAGCCCCCAAACCAGCAAATGCATGGTATGTTCATATTGCTATTAAAATATTCTATTTCCCTTTTAAATTTTATTTATAAATTGGGATTTGGGAACCAAAACTTGCACTTTTTGTTTTCTTGGATTCAGTTTTTATATTGGCTACATTGGCATTTATAAAGAGTCTTAAGTGGCATAATGTTTAAAGAGCTTGGCTGCAAACTGAAAGTTAGCAAACCCACCAGATGTGCTGAGGAAGCAAGATGTGGCACTGTGCTTCCCAAAAGATTACAGCTTTGGAAATACTGCTGGGACTCTCTACTCTGTCCTATAATATTGCTTTGAGTCAAAACTGACTCTCAATGGATGGCCACAGGTGTTTGGACATGTTTTGTATTCTAATTAGCTTCATTGTTAAAGCAATTTAAAGGATCTAGTCATGCATTTTCATTTATAAAATGAATAAACTACATCAGAAATGTTTGCAACAGTGTGGCAGCTACGTAATCTGTCAACTTGAGGAAGGGGTGAAGACAAGCTTGTCAATCAGGTCGCAGCTTGAGACCTCATTTAGAGGCACAAGGGAGATAAATAGCTCACTGGAGGCCATGCGCACTCTCTCTACTACACATTCCTGTTAACAAGCCTCATGGAGCTACGCTGATGGAACCAGAGCCCTGGAGCTGGAGGAGCCACGTGGAGACCCCAGTGAGCACTGAGATGCTTCCACCACCACTGGATCCATAAGACTTTCTACCCATTGACCAGGGATCTTGATGCATTCAGCATCATTGCATGTGTTGACGTGAGTTTGAAGAGGAATTGACAGATTGGTATTAGACATGGGCTAATAACAGATTTGTGGACTTGATCTGGACTGGGCTGGGATGTTTTCTCAATATACAATTGTTCTTTTATATAAAACTCTATCTTGTACACATATGAGTGTCTCTTATGAATTTGTTTCTCTTGTCCACCCAGGCTAACACAAAAAGCAAAACCATTTTGCTTTTTTTCTTATTCTCCGAATGTCTTTGTCCTCAGGCATTCATTGTAAACATCTTCACGTGGCTGTAATCATTGGCACTTATTTAAGCAGTGCTGTCTGTTTACTGTTGTATTGGGTATTTGTTTCTCCTTTGCAGTTTACCCAGTGTGAAAGCACAAATTGCCACAGTCTCGAAGGAGGTCAGATAACAAATTTGAGCTGTGCTTCTATACTCACTATTCTTCCTTTTCTTTGTAGCTTGCCAATATGTAAATGGATTCTAGAGGAAATAATGGGTTGTGTGGGGGCAAGAAAGAAATCAGTAGAAGTGTTTGTCTCACTAGGATTGGTGAGGATCTTGAAGACTATCAGTCTACTTATATAGTGTTTTTAATTACCTAACCAACCTAACCTTTGGTCCACTCAGTATGTGGAAAAATCATTTCATGTTTCTAATATCTTATTATGCTGTTTGTAAAGAGGGACTTTTCCACAGTATAAATATAGATTATTCTGAGGACAGTGGCAAATAACTTTATTCTGAGTGCCACCAGTGGTACATCTACAATGTGGTCGGAGAGAAATAAAAGCGAAAAGTAAGAAAATCTCAGAAGAGGAGAAGAGAGTAAAATACGAGAGAATAGGTTTTCCAGAATTTTAAGATCCACCCATTTTTTACATGTAAGGTACTATGCTAATGTATAAGTAAACAAGACATTCTCGGTCACTGTCCCTGTGAAAGTTGATGTGTTTTCCCTAAACAAAATCTAGAAAAAACATGCCACACTCCTTTGGGGGTATGTGTGTGTGTGTGTGGGGGTGTGTGTGCTTGAACCAGCTATTAGAGAATATAAATATACACTGCGAGAATTAACTATCACACCAGTGTAATGTAATTTTTGCAAGGTCACCCAACAGTTTATTTAAAACCAAAAAGTTAATCAATAAAAGAAAGGAGAAAACTTAATGGTCACTCAAATTAAGGGATCCAGCAAAGGGACACAATGTGAAATTTCTTGGCTTAGGATCTACTTAAAGTTCTATCCCCAAGTAATTTTTAAAAATAAAATTAAAACAGGAGCATGTGTTAAAAAGTCAAATGTCATGGCAGTACTCCTAGGATTATAGTAAAAGACAGCATTCCCCTAGCCCGATCCTGTTGTGACTGGTTAATTAAGATTCACAATAGTTACGTGCTATCTTTACATTTCCTTTCTCTTACACTTTTTACATTTTAGTTCCCCTATAATTACTAATTCCCTTTATTTTTCCCTTGTTACCTATGTACCATCACAAATTTTCTCCTTGAGACTCATAACACGGCCCTAAAGCTCTTTTCAATATAGTGAAACATACCAGGTGATCTGTCCGTTTCCTTAGTTTTCTTGGAGTCCTGTGTTCTGTGATCTGAACTGGCTCTTCTCGAGGCCTGGTTCATTTCTGTTACCCAGGGACCTTCTTACACCTGCCTTCAAATTCACATGGCTCCCCTGTTTGATCCCTAGTTACCAGAATACTTTGTTGTTTTCCTTTGGCTTTTTCCTTGTTTTGATGTAGTCTAGTCGTCACCAGTTTTTTTGATATCCCACTGCCTGCCAGTTGAGTGTGACTCATAGGTAGGTACCCTAATGTACAGAGTAGGGCTGCCCCCTTTGGCTTCCCGAGACTTTGAAGCCTTAGAGTTAACAGCCTCATCTTTCTCCCGCTGACCTTGCGGTTAGCAGCCCAGTGCATAACCACTATCCCCCAGGGCTCCTATTTGGGCTGTAGGCTACGGAAAAAGATAGTTACAATGAGAAGTGAAGAGAGAGAAATAAAGCTGATACTTGTTATGGATATAATTATGTACATAAAAATCCAAATTTATTAAATTAAAATTTTAAGTTCTTGAATTGAATGAGTCTAGCAAGATTTTTAGATATAACATCAATACACAACTATTTATATTAGAAAAAAATAGAAAATTAGATATTATAAAAAAATTTACTTATTTAGTAAATTTCTATTCAGAAACTGTAAAATATGTTTTAGAGAAGATTTTAAAGTTCTAAATAAATCTATATATACTATGCTCATGTTTTAGAGGCACTCCTGCTGAGAACTAGACCTTCATGTCAAAGGCTCCAAGAAGATGACTTAACATAAAATCCTTGGAACAGGAGAAATAAACAAAAAAACCCATTGAAATAGAACTCACCAACTTGCAAAATATATTCATATAACTTTGATGTAGAAATATATGAAACTGTTGAATAAAAACCATGCTTCTTTATTATATAGTTTATTATAAATTGTAGTTTATCCTTATAGTGCAATACATTTATGAAAAAGACTGAATTAGAATTGCAATATGTGGATGAAACCAATCAGAGGAAGAAAAAAACACTTCAAATCCCTAAAAGTCTATCCTTAGGATTTCTTTGATATAAAATTAAAAATAGGCCTTGATACACATTCGTGTTTTATGTAGTCTTCACTAAGTGTGGTGTATTGTGTCTTTAAAGTTGAGATTAGAAGCTCTTTGAGTCTGTGTGGAAAAGGCTGTTGTTTTGGTAAGGATTGTCACTGTCTGTGTACACATTTACCAGCCTCGTCTTCCTGACTCCTAGTATGTAACTGGACTCCTGTTACTTACGGTTAGGTGTGGCAATGAAATGTATTAAAGATAATGGTTTCTCCCATTAGATTGAACTTCTAACAAGTTGAATTTGTAATCTAACATGAAAATTCCAAGTATACGTGGGAGCTGACCACTTTTTACTATCCAGTATTTCAGTTGGATAGATAATATGTTTCTCATCAGTCATCTTGAGTGGAGGAATGCACATTCTTTGTGGCCTGGCATGAAAGATACATGTGGATTCTTCCTAATTCAATTTAGGGCTAAGTATTGATCATTTAAAAAATGAAATTATTAATCTCTCTAATTTCAATTATTTAACTTTTTAGAGCAGGGCGTTTTATTTATTAAAGCAAAAAGTTTCAGAGCTGCTTTAATTGAAGAACAAAATCCTGGTTACCTCGCATGTGGATTCAAATATATAAATGCTTTTCCATAAAGTTTTTCTGGCTGCTAAGGTGGAAAGTAAGAGAGGTGAGTTAGGAAAGTTAAAATCTTGGGAAGGTAGATATTTTTCAAAAGTATAGCGTAAGCAACTGAAAGAAAAATGGAACTAATTTAAAGAAATGTACATAATATGTTTTATAGATAACTGCTATACATAATTAATGAACATGTGAGTTTAAGCAGTTCTATAAGCACCCTTTTCTACCTAGGTTTAGGCAGATTCTTCTTTTTTCAAAACCATTTTAGTGGGAGCCAATCCAGATATGAGGGGTACTCCTCCCCCTCAAAAAAAACCAAAACCAAAAACGGAAAACTCAACTGGGCAAAGCTTTTATAGTGAGTATTTTTCCTGTTAAGCGAGCATCTAGCAACTCACTCAGAGTTTACCTGGGAAGGTTCTCCTTGGGCACAGTGAATTTTTTTTTTATCATTTTATTAGGGGCTCATACAACTCTTATCACAATCCATACATATATCAATTGTGTAAAGCGCATTTGTGCATTCATTGCCTTCATCATTCTCAAAACATTTCCTCTCCACTTAAACCCTCATTTTTAGGTCCTCATTTTTCCCCTCCCTCCGAGCTCCCCACTCCCGCATGAGCCCTTGATAGGTTATAAATTATTACTTTGTCATATCTTGCCCTGCCCGACGTCTCCCTCTACCCACTTCTCTGTTGTCCGTCCCCCAGGGAGGAGGTCACATAGAGTTCCTTGTAATCGGTTCCCTCACAGTGAATTTTTTTAGAAAGGCAGTTTCACTTGAACCTCATTTTCTGTGATGGTCCATTTAAGAGAACAGTGTGTAGCTGTGATAATTTATTTTCTGCTCAGGAAAAATGCCGCAGAGACTTTTGTGATGTTGAACACAGTTTACAAGGACAGCACTGTGGGAAAAACTCAAGTGTACAAATTATTTTGTTTCAAAAAAGGTGAAAGGTAATTGATGTTACACCTCATTCTGCTTTTCCGTCGGCTTCCCAATAGGACGAAAATGTTGACAAAATTAGTACACTTGTGTTGAAAGACTGACAACGAACCATTGAAGAGACGGGGAAGTTATCTGGACTGTCTTGGAGCTCAGTTTAGGGAATTTTAACAGAAGATTTGGGAATGAGAAGGGTTGTTGCGAAATTTGTGCCTCAGGTTTCTGATTGGCCAGGAAAAAGAGCATCGACTGGAAACATGCTGTGCTTTGAAAGAACAGCTGCAAAGTGACCCAGACTTTTTTCCCAAGGTCATTATTGATGACTAGCCATGGTGCTATTCTTATGACCCTGAAAGCAAACATCAGTCAAGCCAGTGGAAGATGCTGTCATCACCTTGCCCAACACTCAGTCAGATACACTTGATCAGAGATCAAGACAATGCTCATTTGTTGTTGTTGTTTTTTATGTGAGAGGGGATAGTGCATTTGGAGTTCATTTCACCAGTGTTAATCAAGCTTTGTATTTAGAGGTTTTGAAACGATTGTGTAACAGTGTGTGACAAAAAAGGCCTGATTTGTGGCAGACAGTGGAATGGTTTTGCCACCACAACAACGCACCTGCTCACGCAGCCATCTCAGTGCACCATTTTTTGGCCTAAAGACAGCATGCCTGTCTTGCTTCACGCACCTTACTCTTCTGACCTTGCTTCATGTGACTTTGTTTCTGTGAATGTAGAGAATAATGAAAGGACAGCAATTTGAGGACATAGGTGAAGATAAAAACTAGGGAGATGTTGTTAGCCATCCAAAAAAATGAGTTGGAAAAATGTTTCCAAGAATGGAATAGCAGGTTTGACATATAAAGCGTAATGGAGAATACTTTTAAGATGATAAGGTTGTTTTGTAAAATAATTTAAATACATAGCTTTGGGAGGGCGGGTTTCCGGGGTCTATTTTTGGTACCCCCTCGTATATTGTTCCATAGTTCAATCACATCAAGCAGTCTGGTGCAATTGCTACCACAGTTTCCAAACATCCTGTTCCTTCTTGAATTCCTTGACATCGGTTCCCCTCTCCATCCTTGCTTCTTCCGCTGCCGTATCCCCAGGAACCCTGCTGTCTCTGTAGGTTCATCAGTTCTGGGTTTCACATACTGAAAAACAGGAAAATATTTTAAAGAAGATGTTGAGCCAAGTATTGAGTCACTTCAACTCTTCCAACTCTTGGAGACCCCGTCCAGGTTTCGGAGGCTGTCCGTCTCTGCAGGAGGAGATAGCTTTGGCTTGCTCCCTTTGAACCGCCAGTTTTGGGTTTGAGTTCAACACTTACAAAGGCATTCAGTATCATATTGAAAACCATAATTTTATCATCTCATTGTGGCATTGTCTCCTTGTTATCTATATCAGTGACCTAGAAGAAATTTTAACTTGATATTTGCTTTATTTTGCAGGACATCTTCTCCACATTCAGCTTCATCCAAATCATTCCAGGATTTTTTACTGGAGGAAAAAACATCTATTACTGGCCATGGTTCAGGAGATCATGCTACAAAAATCTGTTTTAAAGGAATTGAAAATTCCCAGGCTCCAAAAGTTATAAGGTAATAAAATAAACATTTTTATTTACATTTTTTACTGTAAAATATTCTATGTAGATTTTATGTTCTATAATACTTTTATGAGACAGACTTACAGTCTTTTCCATTCAAAATTGACCTATCCTTCAACCTTTTTTTTCCCGTAGCAGTTATTGAGGTATTATTGACATAGAATAAATGGTACTAATTTAAAATATATAATTTGAGGTTTTGGCATATAAACTATCATCACATTCAAAATAGTGAACACATACTACAGTCTCAAAAATTTCCTCAGTCCCTTTGTCATGCCTGCCTTCCCCATGTGCCCAATTCCACTTTCTATCAATATAAATAACTCTATATTTTAGCAACCAAACCAAGCTCACTGCCATTTAGTTGATTCTGATTCATAGCAACTATAGGACAAGGTAAAACTACCCCTGTCAGTTTTCAAGGTTGACTCTTCATGGGAGTAGACAGTCTCATCTTCCTCCATCATAGTAACCAATGGGTTCAGACTTCTTTGTGGCTAGCAGCCCAATCCCTATGTGATGCACTACGTCACTAGAGATTCTGTGTACCAAACAGAATGGGAATTTCTTCAAGAAAGGAGAGCAGCCTGAGAACCATACTACTTTAACCTTACCTACCACACAACAAGCTTCTAAGGAACTGCGTCTTCTGACAATGTTTGGAACCTTCAGAGAGGTTTAGACATTTAGATATAGTGTCATTGCTGAGAGAATGACTTGCTTCTGGATTACACAGAGCCTTCTCCTTACAATACAGAAAATATGAATCTGTGAAAGTAATATGATCCAGCTCCCTCACTTTTCAAATAGAAATGAATTTAAAAATTAAAATCCTAACTTGAACCCTACTTACCATATGAAATGGCTTAAACTTTTTTTGTTACATTTTGAAAGTTAAATTTTCAATGTTTACTTATGATAAAGTGAGAATATTGTGATTTTTTGGGTGGACTAATAAATATATAATTTGGCTTGGCACATGTTATTCAAAATCAAGATTGGCCAGCAAATATTTATTATCTACTCTGGGTCAGACAGTGTGCTAATACTAGTGTTACAGTGGTGAACAAAATTAACACAGTCACACTGCGCTTACAGAGAAGAAAAACGTTAAACAAATAACTGTCCAAAGCATTTTGTGTTTTAATGTTGTCTGGTATTTTTAAAATTCTGTTTAAAATAAGTAGTTATAAATGATTTAGAAACTTTATTTTTGAATTTATATAAATATTAAATTAACCAAGCAGCACAGTGCACATAATTCAATGCATTAAAAGAATTTGTTTATGTATTTCTACTTCAAAATTGTTTTTCACATACGAAATAACAAACAAACGCCTGCTGAAAACTTAGAACACTTTTAAAACTACTGGATCTAAACAATTTAAAAATAATTAGTATCGTGGAAAATGTTCTCTTAAAGATGTTTAGGGAAGGGTATTTTTATTCCTGTCCTAAGTGACAGATAATCCCTGGGCATTGTGAAATGCTAAAAATGATTTTTGTGAATCAAAACAA